GCCTCGTGGAGATGCGTGCCTGGGACCCTCCATCCCCACCCGCCCCGAGGGGTCCTCCTGTGCTGTACCAATGCCAGTGCTGCTGTGCTGGTCAGGTCGGTACTTGACAGCTGGTGGCTTTTGAGTCAGCTCATTATTTTGGGCATAGCCATCACCGCTGTGTGGAGAGAAGAGGTTCGGGGTCAGCCTCCCAGCACAGCCCTCCTCTGCTCCCCATAGAGCAGCTGGGGTGGGATCTGCTATGGCTTGCAGGAGAGAGGGTTTAAATGGGACAGCATTGCTCCAGGGGTAGGAACTGGGCTCTCCTGGGGAATAATGTCTCCGATGATCCCAACATAATGCTGGGAGAAATCCCTGCTGTCCCAAAACTCAGCCACACATGTGGACAGTACCTGGAGAAGCCGATCAGCACGTTGCCCACAGCAAGCTTGGCATAGTCCCATCGCATCCCACCGTCCTGGTAGAGCAGCAAGGCGAAGGAACGGTTCCCATCGGTGGTGAGGACTGCCTGGTAGGTGCTCGTCTGGAGAAACCCAAGGCACCCCCTTAACACCCGCAAAGCCCCCCCTGCTCTCCCCGCAGCGCATACTGGGGCAATGACATTCAAAACACCCGCATCAGTACATTCAAAACACCCGCATCAGGTCATGGGAGACCAGTAGCCCAGCCCTGCCCTGGCCGTTGCTGGTGACAGTCCCCTCTGTCACCTGGGTCCCCCACTGCTCACCCAAGTGTCATCCTGCCGGGACGGGTATGCCGGAGCCTTCTCCCATGTCACCTTCAAGGTCCATTTTGCTTCATAGGGGATTTGCAGGTATTTCTCAATCTTTGCTTCCACGTCATGGACAAGGGGGTCTTGGGTAGAGCTGAGGGTGGAGTACTCCTGCCAGTTGGCAAGAGAGAGGGTTAAGTGAGGGAGCTAGGAGCTGGGCTCTCCCAGGAGAACATCTTTAGTGGCACTGACCTGGTACCAGGTGGTGCCAACACCCTGGGAGAAATCGGCATCGTTCCAAAAGGCGGCCACCATCGGCAAACTCTCCTGGCCGCTGAAGCCCCGGGGAGGTGGGTTGGGGTTGGAGGGAACATAGTTGTCCGTGGGTGGGAAAATGATCTGTCCATTATCTGTAAACTAACCAAAATAACTTGTTATTTGCTGACAGCCCAGGAAGCTCCTGGGATGGCTTTTAGCCTCCATGGGTAAACAGAAACCAGCCATTTTAAATTGCAAAAAAAACCCCATTCAGATGAAATTTGGTTTCTGCTCCATTTCTGTGGGGTTTTTTCTACCAAAGATGTTGCATATCCCTTATGTGCTCGGCAAGGGGGAAACTCACGTAGAGGGCATCCCGCAGTGACTTCCCGAAGGGGAACCCAATCTCTGGCTTGAACAGGGGGGAGTTAAAATCCACCATCCTCTGGACGCACTCTCGGTCCCCTTCCTCCATGCCAAAGGGGTAAAGTGAGGCTGCTGGCACTGACACGGGCAGGAGATTAATCAAAAAGGTAAGAAACATTAATGTCTGCTCCATCCTTCCTGTGGCCAGAGCAAACTCGCCTGCTTGCTGCCGGGATGCCGACCGGACCAGAGCTGTGATGGCTGGTAACCCAATTTTTAACGCAGTTTTAAACTTGGAATAGGACATTCTCAGGTGTCCTAGTTCACCTTTCCCCAAGAATCTGGCAGCCCAACGTGCATTGCAGATGAGTCACCCCAGGCCATGCTATACCCTCAGCCATCACGGTGCTTGGTCGGCTGAGAACCCCTTCCTGCTCTTTGCTTTGGGAGGAAGAAAATCTACTTACTGATAAGCCCGTGGGTGGGTCGGGGCTGAGGGGCAGGGTTTCTGTGGCCAGCAGTCGTGCGGGCAGATGTCCTTGGTACTATGGCCAACCCCTTCTGTGTCCCAAAGGCAGGAGCCAGGGCAGTGGCAGGGCTGGCGGTGGATGGTGGTCTCACCAGTGCCGTGGTGCCTGGGACCGGGAGACCTCCTGCTTGCTTGGCTGGGCTCACGGGGGCTGTGGGTGCAACAGCCACGGTGCTGCCTGTGGTGACGGCCGTGGTGCTGCCTTTAGTGATGGCTGCAGTGCTGCCTGCAGTGGTGGGCACAGTGCTGCCTTCCGTGGTGGCCGTGGTGCTGGCTTCGGGGGGGGGCGGGT